AATCTTATTTCCACTCTTTTTAAAGCATTTGGGTTGCAAAAATTAAGTATTATCACAAAATATTATTGCAGATTGAAAGTACAGTGATCAGAAATGAATTCCCAATGACCTGCTAAAATCTAGACACCACTTGTAATGTTGTACCTCAAAATTTTCTATTTCTTCCATTTTAAAATTTTTTTCCAGGAAGGCGTGGGGAAAGACATTAAACATTCTTACCAAAGTCAGGAAGTTTCCCAGGTGTTTTCACTTTCTTCCCTACGCAACTTTCTGTTTTAACTAAAAAAAAAAACAAAGAAGAAACCAAAAGTAAGAACCTGAAAGAAGTGGAAATAAAATTGTTAGTACAATTGAAAGAACAATTTAGCAAAATAACTGACTACTTTAGGAGAAAACTGTTTGAGCTTTTGCTGATACGAGAAAATGAAACTGTATTTAGTTTTAAATGTGCTAAGAGATTTTTTTTTCACAGATGATTTTGAGTTGGAAGAGACCCACAAGGATCATTGACTCCTGTACAAATCCTTGCTCATACATGGTCCCATATCACAAATTAAATCAGTCATTATAAAACATTATGCCCCCCCCAATCTTATTTCCTCTCTTTTTAAAGCATTTAAGTTGTACAAATTAAGTATTATCAGAAAATATTACTGCAGACTGAAAATACAATGAACAAAAATGAATTCCCAATGACCTGCTAAGATCCAGATATTACTTGTAATATTATACCTCAAAAATTTTTATTTCTTCCATTTTGGTTTTTTTTTTTGGGGGGGAGGGAGGTGTGGGGGAAACATTAAACATTCTTACCAAAATCAGGAAGTTTCACAGATGTTTTCAGTTTCTTCCCCAAGCAACTTTCTGTTTTAACTAAAAAAAAAAAAAAAAAAAAATTGTTAGTATAAAAAATAATTTGGTAAAATAATTGACTAACTACTTGAAAAAAACTCTTTGAGCTTCTGTTGACAAAGAAAACAAAGCAATGTTTAAGTTAAGTTTTGAACATGCTAAGAGATTTTTTTCACAGATTCACAGACTGTTCTGCATTGGAAGGACCCACAAGGATCACTGAGTCCCGTACAAGGACTGAACCCATGAACTCATGACCCTGGTGTCATCAGCACCACGCTCCAAAGGATGGACAAAAAAAATTCACACCAAACAACAACAAAGTTATTGCATGTCAGGGAATTCAATGAAGCAGACAGAGAGGAAGATCAATCAAGTTCAATGTCTCTAAATATTTGAGGGCATCAGGAATTTCAGTACATTTATTTCAGCACATTTATTTCAGCAGCATACGGCTGCTAAATATTTCATCACTTACATTTCCACTACATTCCAAACAAAAATTCTCAGATCAGGTAGGTCCAATGACTATGTCTGACTTGAACAACAATCAAACCAAATTCTAGGAGCAATGAACTGTAAAAAACTGAAAAGACATTTTGGTGTATCATGAAACCAAATTAGGAAAACAATCGTGAGTGTAGTTAGGCCTTCACTCCTTCTGGAACTAGACCAGTTCATCAAGACCCAGAGGAGGTTTAACAATTTATTAAACCTATTAAAAGTATTAAAAATATCTTAATTAGCTGAAGCAAATCTACCCCTTTTCAAAAACAAATATAAAGTATATACAATATTTCTACATGCTTTAAAAAGCATAGGTTTTTAGATTATATTTTAAACTTTGAAGGTCTCTCATGTCTTGAATTCTTTAGGGTTTCTCAAAAATTTAATGTAGTTGATTTTTAGTATTCTAGCTAGTGCTTGTTAATCAACTTTGCGTACCTCTTGCTCACATTACTGATTGATTAGGTAGTTATATTATTAAAAAACACAGGACAGGTCTTAAAACACAAGTCTTGAGAAAGTATTTTTCTCATTGCTTCATAAAAACCTACACTGGAGCAGGGAGAAAAATGTGGGTACAGAACACAGCAGGAAGCAAAAAAATCTTGTACTTACGCATGCCATGAGTTTTCAATGCTTCTTCAACCTAAATTACCAAGTTATCAACCAAAAAAGAAGACACTTAAGAGTCAAAACATAATAATTAAAAGCTTTTCTTATATGTGTTAGATTAATACCAACAGCATAAACTATCTCAAGTGAATAATTACATGAAAATTTAAAAATAAAAACATCCCTTTTTCTTCTGGAGATTGTCTATGATTTAAGTAATTCCATTCTCCCTTTATTAACAGCCATGTAGTTTCATGTACTGTATTTATTAGACAGAAAGATGTAACATGTTCTGATAGGACGATTGCACAAAACCACATTCTATTTTATCATTGTAGAGAAGACAGTAAATTAGCAAAAGTAGTTAAATGTCTGAAATTGTATGTTTCACCACCACACCAAAACTATACTTCAAATCCCATAATCTGTTGCTAAATAAATTGGTAAAATCTGACAAAAGGTGCATTCAAAAACTGATCTTACCATCCTGTGTTTTGCTCCAAGGAAATGAGTCTGCAAGTTTAATGCAGAAGAACACCAGATTTTGCAAATCTAGGTTAAAGAGAAGTATTTCTAGCATTACACACACACCAAGAGAAATAAAATATCACTGATATCAAAACATATCTACTACCAAATTGTTGGGATAGCTTAAGTTCTACAAAAGTACTACTACTTCAAAGACAAACTAGAGCAGCCTCCTAAAACTGAATTTTATAAGGCTCCAAGACCACCAAAAACACAGTGGAATGAACCAGAGTTTCCACACCACGTAAGAATTTCAGATGCTGCAGAACTCTGCAGCTATCTCATAACACTTTCTGTGTGGGCATGTGTGGATACGTGAAGACAGATCCAAGACCTTCCTCACACACTCTACAGGAAGGCTAAGCCACAGCCACGGCATAATTGTGACAAGCTATGACACCTGCATGAGGTGAGCCTTAAGTGCTGCATCCACACTAACACGCTTACTCTGATCAGTTCAGGGCCTGCCTCACTCCCTTTGGAAAACTTCCCTATCACAGCTGGTTTACGCCTGGGCCAGTTTGGAACGGGAGCAAATTAGGTTTAAATTCACGTGAATGAACAGCAGCAGCCCAAATTTTCTTCTCTTCTAAAAATCCCAGGATGCTTTAAAAAAACAGCAGTAAACCTGACAACCAGGGAAATCAGGATTTTTTGTCTGAACAGGAGTTACGCTTAATCATCCACTTTTAAAAAGAATGCCTTTATTTAGAAACATATTATTATTTACTATAATAATAATCTTAACACACATCCAAGTCAAACATGACAAAGAAACCAAAATAAGTTCAGCTCCAGTGCTATTTATCAAGCTTGCTCAAGAGAAAAAATGAATGTTCACACTTGGTTTAGTACAACTTTGTAAGTGAATACTTACATTGCAGTAAAAGGGGTTTATTTGCTTCTTTATCTCACTTTCAGGGTCCATATTCAGTCTTTAGATGATAAAAAATTCTAGGAAAATTACAGAAAGATTGCAAGCTGTTGTTTAGGTTACACAAAATTATTTACATTTTTGTTCCGCCTATATGAGGTTTGGGCACATTCCAGCTTTATTTTGAGTTACATTCAACCTTTGAATGTCCAGCCTAATGATCCTATTTTCAACTCGCGAGCAAAACTACAGCATGGAAAGAAACAATTGTTCTCCGCGAGCTTCCCTCGGGAAACATTAACGTCACTAGAAGACTACGCAGAACAAAAACTAACGAAACGAAAACTAATCCGGACCATTTCAAGCTCCCCCCTTCTTTCCTGGGACAGAACTGCGCGCAGGGGCTGGGACAGCTGACACACACATGGGCACAGCCAGCACGCAGCGCCTGGGAACAGGAGGCACACGGCGGGCTTCGCGAAGAAGGACACGTCCCACCCGGCCCGCGGCGGCCAAGGGCCGGGGGAGGAAGTAAAGGAGGGAGGGAAAGGAGCGGAGGAAGGGAAGCAGGGAGGCCCCGAAGCTCCAAACCGCCCGCCAAGAGCGGCGCCAGGCGGCAGAGCGCCCTTCCTTCCCGGCACCCCAGCCCCGCTCCCGCCGGGCCGCCGCCGCACGCACTCACCCCGGCGGGCGGGCAGCGTCCAGAGCCCGGAGGAGCCGAGGGCGCTCCCCGCTGCCGCTCCGGCACCTGCCACCGGCCCGCCGGCGGGACGGAGCCGCGCCACGGCGGGCGCGGGGAGGCACGGCGGGGCGGCGGGAGCCCGGCCGGGCCGGGCACGGCACCGGCGGCGCCGCGGGCCGGGAGCTCGGCGCCGGCGGGCGGGGACAGGGACGGGCGCGGAACGGAACGGGAACGGAACGGGAACGGGGCGGCCGCAGCACCCCCGGCCCTTCCCGCAGCCGCCGCTGGGGGCGCTGGCGCGCAGGCGCGCGGGGCCGCCGGGCGCTGTCGGAGGTAAAGCCCGAGCTGGGTCCGCGGCCGCCGCACCGGGGCGGGAATTCCCCATCCCGCTCCGCCCCAGGGCCCCGGGACCGGGATGCGGATGGGCACGCCGCGCTAGGGACGTGCGTCCCGGGAACTCCGCCCGCGCCCGGTGCAGGCGGGGCTGCCCACCCCCTTCCTGGCGGGCGCTGGGTGTTCGCACGCCGCTCCCCACAACACACACGCACATATAAACACGCACAGAGACACGCGCGCGTCTCCCCGCGCCGCCTCCCCGCAGCGCCGCCGCACCTGCAGGCCCGGGCGGGCGGCACGGCGGTGTCCCCGCGGCACGGCGGTGTCCCCGCGGCACGGCGGTGTCCCCGCGGGAGAGGCCGGCGCCGCGCCGCCCGTGCTGCGGCGGGCGGGAATCCAGCGCGGGGTTTGCGGGGAGCTGGAGGGAGCGGTGGCGGCGGCCTGCGGGCGGGGAGGTGAGGGAGGCGGGGAACGAGGGAGGGAGGGAGCCGAGAGGCGCTTTGTTACGGGGAGCCGGCGGGGCCGCAGGGTGGGGTTGTCCCCGCCGCCGGCGCTGGTCCCCGCGGGCGCCGGGTGACAGCGGCCGCCCGCCCGCCGAGCCCCCCCGCCGCCGCCGCGGATGCGCCCGCACCGCGCCGCAGCCTCCGCGCCCGCCCGACGGGGAGCGGCCGCCTTTGTGGAGCCGGGACCTGTCCTGCTTTCTCCTTCAAGCAGAAGAGGAGCTAGCGAGGAGATTACAAAAACCCCACCAAGCTCGAGTTAATGTTTGAGAAGTTCGGGTGCGGGAGAGTCTGGTAGGATTCCTATATTATGCCTATTTTTGGTGGATTTCAGGCAGTCGTTCGGAATAACAACCTGCGTCCATTACCTTGCTTGCGGGAAGTGCTTTGGATGTCCTCCATAGGCAGCGGGATGACCCGCTTAAAATCCATCTGTGTATATCTATAGTGTGATATGATTATATATATATATATACACACACACACACACACACACACACACACACACATATATAAATACATTTCCAGGTATAGCTATATAAAATCTGACAGGAGAAATTTCGGTAAAGTACTGTGAATTTTACTAGTAGATGAGCTTGTATTTTTGCTGGATGATCCACGATAACTGTTAATTTGTATTAAAGCATGGGGGGAAAGCACCCAAGGAGGTGGGATTTTAAAAAAATCTGATTAAAGCACATTTCCTGTATAGAGCTCATTCATATTTGCAATGTGCTCTTGATTACCTAGTGATTTCAAGTTTCAAGGTAGGCAGGGTCAGGCCTGGCACACTGATGGAAGCTTGGTGAGGAAAACCAGGGAAACATCTGAGGAACAAGAACACTGTTTACTGCTGCTTCTGTCATTCAAACAAAATATAAACCTGTTGTGACTAGTTTGGGTCATTGCATTTCCATGTCTTTCTTCCCTCCTCGAGCACTGGATAAAAAGGACAGAATTATGATTGATTTCCAATGTTGTTAATTACTGGCTATGTTTAGAGCTTCACCTGGAATTTAAGTTAGAGACATAAATTTTATTTTTATCAATCTTTGAATATTTCTGGTAGTAATTCTGTTGGCACTGGTCAGTGAACTTCATTTTCACCCCATAAGTGACCACAGTTCGCTAATAAACTCTTTTCTTTGGGTTTGGTTAACATTTGGTTTAACATTTGGGATAAGTCTTTGACCATAACTTTCTCTCTGTATTTTCTTCTGCCTAAAAAAACATTTCATGGACTAAAAATGCTCATACTTGCCAACTTAAACCTAATTTTTTACCTTTTACTGGGTTTCTATGCAACTGAGTGGAGCTTGGGTGTCTGTTTAGATGTGTGCAAGCAAAATAATGCATGTGTGTGAAATATTTATGGTCATATGTGCATTTCCTAACTTGTGTAATTCTTTTTTCAAGCTATTCTCCCAGCAGATCACATCACATGCCTTATAGTCTGTAAAAGAAGAACTCTGCACAACATTTCACAGTAAAGATGAGGAGCTGAGAGATACCTCTGTTATCTTGAAGCTATAGAGGTTTGTGTGAGAGGACAAATACTTAGGACACTGCTTTGTTTTAAGGCACTTTGTGAATTGAGTCATGCCAGGAGAAAATATTTAGGATAAAATGCTTTCTTACTGCTTGTGTCTTGGAGCATAGGCACCTGTAAGAGTGGGAGAAGCTTTCCAGTCTTTGTTTCTTAGAATTTACTCTGCAACTGTCCTCATGTGCCCACACAAATCAATCCAGTTTACAGAATGAGCTATGCACAGTAAACTGCTTTGATTTCAGCACAGATTCCTGCTAAATTATATCCCAGGCATATGTCCTGGCAGGACTGTTTAGCCTCAAAATGGAAATTCTGGGCTTGTGAATCCTTTCTCATATTCTGCAGAGGAGCCAGTGGGCTGCAAGAAGGTGAATAATATGCATAAAGAAAAAAGAGGTGAATATAAATACATCATGGTGTTCTGATTCAACTTCTCTGTATTCTAACTTCTCCTGCCATCTCAGAGTGCTTTCTTGACACCTTGGGCTTTAATACATTGAAGAAAGTAGGTTAAGCATGTAAGAGCTTGAGGAGAGTCTTCCAAAACTCTTTTCTTCTATGTATTAAACTGCCCACACAAGTTCTTGAGTTCCTTTATGCATCCTAGATCATAATCCTTGCTTCTTCACAGGAAGGGCACAAATATAATGTGTATGTTTAGGAAACAAATACTAGGAATGTTATTAGTGCAAGAAAAGACCAATATATTCTTCTCAGAGTAGGACTTATATTTCCGTTCTTTAATGTTTAGTATTTGAACTTAACTTACAACTGGGGATCTCAGAAACTACAACAGTAAAAATAATAGAAGTAAATGATAGTGTGGTATGAAAGTGATACTTAAATTTGCTCCATCTATGAAAGATGAGCTTTTTATTCTAGTTCATAATTTCTTAATATATGAGATGTCATATTTAAAAATGTTTTAGATATTTACTGACATCAGCTGCTCTTGGCCAGTCTGTGGAGCTAGATATTTAGCATCTAGAATCCAGAAGTCCTAGTAATGTTTAACTTTTTGAATATAGTCTCCAAACTTCTGAAAATCCAGTTTTTCTAAATAAAGGGATTTTCTAAAAATAAACATGTAATGATTTTTTTTGTCTGAGATTCTCTCACCTTTTCAAAACTAGAAGTAAGATTTACATGTATCAGTAGAAGGTAGAATCAGTCCTTTCTGATCGCATGGAGTAATCCTGGTTTTTCAGGGTCAAAAGCTACTGGGCTTCACAACTTCCGGTGAGACTGCATTTCATCCCATTTCTTGGTGGAATTGAGATTAAGATATAGAACCAATATTTAGTCCCAAGAATTTTATTTCAGCATCTCTCTAAAGCAACTTAATGGTTTGGAATAGTGCAACAAGTATGTAAGTAAAATAGATTAGTAGATACATTCTATTCCATTCCAGATCTCTTTTATTTTGTGTGTTTATAGAGCGGCTTCATGGAGCAAATTTGCCAGTTTTAAGTATCTTTGCTAGGATGTCAATTTTGTTACTGCCTTTTTTTTTTTTTTCCTAGTTTGTTTTATTTAAGGAACTCCTGAAGCAGCTGTACACTTCTATTAGGCCTAGACATTGTAATAACTGGTATGCATTAAAGCAGTTTCTTTGCTTACACCTAGTTTGTGCTGTCAGTTTATAGCTGTTTAAGAATTCCTGTCACCAATATGGGGGGGTGACTTAAGTTTTCACAGACCAAAAAAAAAAAAAAAAAGAAACCAAACTTGATACAGTGTGACAGAGGAAATATTGAACCAAGAAACTGTTTTCCTTAAACTCAGCCACCCAACTCTCTTCCTTCTTCCTCCTTTTGCTTCAATGTAAAATAAACTAGCTCTTCTATTACCAGTAGCACTATTACATTTTGTTTTGCTATGGACCTTTCCCTTAGTCCCCTTGATCCTGTCTGCTGCAAAAACTTCAGCTCTCCCATGTCCTTGTGACACCAGGATTTGGTAAGAGAGAGCAGAACTGTGACTATGTAGGACCCACACAGGTGACTGGAAATAACCCAGTTAAGCAATGACAGAATGTGCAAACCAAGTGTTTGCTCTTTTTTCAGTAGGGGTACAACTTAGCTACTAACTTGACCTAGACTGTTACTTATTTCTACTTACTAACTTTGCTTCAGTTTTGCTATTCCAGGCTTTTTTCCACTATGTCCCCTGTTCTTTGACTTCTTTATTTTGCTAGCATCATGGTTTAACCCCAGCCAGCAACCAAGTACTGTGCAGCTGCTTGTTCGCCCCTTGCCCCCAGTGGGGTGGGGAGGAGAATCAAAAAAAAAAGTAAAACCTGTGGATTGTGATAAGAACAGCTTAATAACTGAAACAAAATTTAGTAGCACTAATAATAGTTGTAGTGAAAAAGAGAAAGTAGTGGGGGAGAGAGAGAGGAAGAAAACTCAAGAGAAACAAATGATGCACAATATGATTGCTCATCACCTGCAGGTCTCGGCCAGATCCCTCTTCATTTATACACTGAACGTGATATTTCATGGTATGGAACATCCCTTTGGCCAGTTTGTATCAGCTGTCTTGGCTGTGCTCCTTCATAGCTGCTTGTGCACCTGCTTTCTGGCAGAGCATGGGGAACTGAAAATCCTTGACTTGGAATAAGCACCACTGAGCATCAACTAAAACATCCATGTGTTATCAGCATTATTCTCTCTAAACCCAAAATACAGCACTGTACCAGCCTCCAGGGAGAAAATGAACTCTGTCCCCGCTGAAACCAGGACAGCTGGGCTTTGTCATATTTTATGGGCTCCTCAAGAGAGCCACTGTTTTAATATCAAGCTTGGGCTTTCATTTCTTTATTAGCTTGTCTGTTAGCTTTCTTTATAAACAGAAGTAGTTACCTTTACTGAAAGAGATGGGAATAACTGTAAGTACTAAGATGTTTGGAGGAAAGGAACTACAAAGATGGCACAAAGAAAGTCCTAGTGCAGTGGAGTTAATGAAAAATATATTGAGAAGAGGAAACCTGATAGTGCTATCTAATGCATCGTCAAGGAATGTTATAAGAAAAGTAGAAACAATAGGCAAAAGACTAGAAAATTCATTTTGGGAGAGTCCTAGACTGCTAGGAATATGAACCAGTTATCTTATAAATGTATCACTGGGTTTAATGACTAAAAATAAAAGAAATGAGAGCTGCATTTTTGCCCAAAATCTGAAAGTAATTTGGACTGTATAGTTACAGCAGAAAGGAAGGGGGAGAAAAGTAAGAAAAGATAGAAGAAGCAAAGGGATATTTTGTTTCACAGTCATATATCGTTAACTGAAGGCAACACTGCTTTTGTTTTTCAAATGGCCACTAATTCCCTGTTATCAGCTACCTTTTTCCTATTGACTACATAAGTGGTGGACTTGAGAAGAGAGGTGTTGCTGACATGGTGTAAGTGTATAGCAGTGGCTGTGTTAAAGCCAGAACTCTTTTTAGCCTGGTTGTTGGCTCCTGAGTGACCAACAGCACAAGTGCAAGGAAGTGCCACACATGCAGGGCCAGCAGTCAAGGGCAAAGGACCTGTACCTTCCACGTGGTTTGCTTCTGTTGTATTTCTTGTCTTCTTGCAACTCTTGCTGCTTCTCAATATTGTAATACAGGTCAGGATCCTGCTGCCTACTGGGTATCATTCAGGGGGAGGATGGAGCATGGGGGAGTACAAAGCTGACAGGTCTTTAAAAAAACAACTTCTTACTATCATTGCTCATACAAATGAGCTTTCAAATGTTGGAGAGAGATGGGGGAAATTAATTATACACAATTAGCAAGGACAGAGGAGGGTATTTTTTAAATCAAAAGAAACCAAACCATGCTGAAGGTGGCTTTAGACATAAATGTGAAGCTAGTGAAGGCTGGGTTTTGGAATTTGTTCCTGACTTCAGTGCTTGGAAAACTTTATGGAAGTGAAAAAGTGCAATGAACAGGAAAACATGATATTAAAAGCAAGATACTAAGTAAATACTGAGTATTTTGTATCCAGATAAATTGTAACAAAGACAACTATTCATTGTTGTCGACTTCTGTCACTGTATCCACTAAAGAGACAACACAAACCAGCATGTAATTCTGTTTTATCTTACCTGATCATTTCATTATGTGGTCTAGAACTATTCACAAGCTATTCTAGAAAATGAAGTAGGGTGGGGTTTTTTTGTTTTTTCCGGGGGGGTTTTGTTTTTTTCTCTGAAAGACAGTTACCCCATATTGCAACCAGTTCTAATTTGTGTTTGGTTTTCTTTTTTCTTTTTTTCTTCCATCACTGTTTTCATAGGAATTTTGGCTTCTTGGAGAAACGGGAGAAAATGCAAAACGAAATAATAAAGCCTGCTAAATACTTCTCAGAAGTGGAGAAGAGTGTGCTGCTTGCATTAGTTGAAAAATACAAATACGTGCTTGAATGTAAAAAAAGTGATGCAAGAACTATTGCTCTGAAACAGCGCACCTGGCAAGCACTAGCTCATGAATATAATTCACAGCCCAGTGTATCACTGCGAGACTTCAAACAGTTAAAGAAATGCTGGGAAAATATCAAGGCACGGACAAAAAAGATAATGGCACATGAAAGGCGGGAGAAGGTAAAAAGAAGTATTAGTCCACTTATAAATACTCACATCGTAGGGAAAGAGAAGATTGGAAGCATAATGCCTGAGCAAATGTACTTTTTGCAGAGCCCACCAGAAGAAGACTCTGAATATCAGCCTGATGCTTCTAGTCAAGGTATAAATGTTGCTGTAATGATGCAAGTAGTGTTTTGTATGTGATTTTGCCAGTGATTCTTTTTCAAATCTCTCCACTTAGCTGTGACTGCTGGATATAGAACAGTAATTTCAGAGCTATGATATTACAAGGCTGTGTGTATTTCCTGAGGCCTTCAGGAGTTAAACAGGTGTGAGGTTTTTGCAGATTTTTTTCATCTGTTTTCATCAACAGACATATCTGCTGCTTTGTGGCAAGCATCACTGTTGCTATCATGCTGGCTTTCCAAAGAATAGTCCCAAGGATATCTTTATCATTTTTAAAGTATCATTTTGCTGGTTTAAAAAAAAAAAAAAAGAAAGCTACAAGCAGCAAATTGATACACAATTGCCTGCTGCAAGAGTTCCCTGTGGTCTTTCCTCCTTTGTTTTCAAGGACTAAAAAGAGTATGTGGAGCCATGTTTCACACTGCAGTCCACACTGGAGAATCGCCTTTCTGAAAAAGTTCACCACTACATTCTTCTTTGTTTGGCAAGCATACCCAGAAGGAATAATTCAATACCAGGAGGGAGCGTGGCTGCAACAGTTTATTGCAAATTTTATTATGGCGGGATCTCACACAGAAGATTGTCCTTGTTCAAAAGACAACAGCAGCTACATTGTTAGATAACATTCTTAGAATGCCTCTTTCATAATTCTATTTACCATAATTAGTTATTTTGTTTTGGATAGAAATGTATTTTGAGACCCTCATTTGCAGCGGTAACTGTTCTGTTCCCTGCGTGGTCTCTTTTCTTTCAGAAAAATTGGTAGAGCCTTCTCAGTTAGAATAATGTTAGAATAATGTGATTTTTACCTAAAAATTGTCACTACTGTATTTACAACATCTGCAGCAGAAATAAGGAAAGAATAAGAAGTGTTCTTCCTACTATTCCCTCAGTGATTTGATATTCATGTTGACACAGCTTCACCTGACACTCAGATCTTTCATAAAATATTGCAAGTCACATAGGATTTAGCTTAAGTGGCTGCATTAAGGTTTAGCTCCAGGCTCAGCCACCTAAATTTAGGTGTCCACTCACAAGTGTCTGCATTCAGTTTAGTCTTCTGAATTCCCACTATAGCCTTGCAGGTCTTTCAACACAGCCCCAAGTGGTTTTGTTCAGCCCATTATGCCCTTAGTATTCTGCAGCAGAACTGCATTATGTAGTGGCTCCTGTGCTTTGCTACTGGAGCACAAGTTTCATATGCACATGTAAGTCACTTATATATCACATTTCTGTTTCTTGAAGGAAGGGAAGAGAATAATGTAACACTTTTTCTTCTTTTGTTTGCAGAGTCATTTGTTGTGTCAAACAGAGAACTTTGTGATGAAGACAAAGAGCTGGTACATTTTCCAGTATGCGAAGGTACCTCCCAGCCTGAGCCTTCATGTTCTGATGTCAGAATAGCAGCAGATAAGAACTACAGAAGTAAAGCATCTCAGGAAAGTGCTCTGAAAAAGATGCATGAGGAAGAACATCATCAGCAAATGTCGATTTTGCAACTGCAGTTAATCCAAATGAATGAAGTTCATGTGGCAAAGATACAGCAAATAGAAAGAGAGTGTGAGATGGCTGAAGAAGAACACAGGATAAAAATGGAAGTTCTAAATAAAAAGAAAATGTATTGGGAGAGAAAACTGCAGACCATTACAAAAGAATGGCCTGTATCCTCCTATAACAGACCCTTTCCTAATTCACCTTAGAACATAGAAGGGCAGAGAGTCAGTCTGGTTTAGCACATTTATGAGTAACACGCACTGGAAAGAGGGTTTTCTACTGTGAATGTACAGTGACAGGATAGGTGCCTGGCTGATAGTGAACACACTATGACTCTTAATGTTTAGGGAAACAGTGGTATAGTTCACCAAGAGGAAAACTCTATTGTTTGTTTGTAGGTAGTTCTGATTTGTTTAACTCGCAGACATGCACAGTGTTCTACAATGTGAACATATTTTCTCCTTGCAGAACACCCTTGATCCTTGTGAAGTTTAAGGTACCCTTACATTGGTAAGAGTAAGGTATTCTTACATTGGGAGTTCTTAAGAAAACTTAACATCTTTAAATATTGGGCTGTAGTGTTTGTTTTGATTTCTATCTCTTCCTATCTACCATTTCCCAAATGAAGGCAAGGGTTGGAGTTGCTCTCTGCTATTGAGACAAAAGGTGATAGACAGCTATTAGCTGGATCATTATGCTGAAGCTTAGGGAAAATAAACTAGTTAATACAGTCCATAACTTATTCTTCATAAAAGATGTGAAAATGAAGGATGTAGCAAGAAGGACACTGTAGTGACAGCCCTCTCCTTCTGAAGAACAGTAATGTTTATTTTCCAGCTGTCTGGCTGACTGAGAGGATGGTTGTGGAATGGCCCTCCAGTTGTTTGAGCCTTGACACTTGAGAAATTAAAAAGAAGGCAACTTCTTCCTCAAAAGCCACTGTGCTTATTCTTTAATTTTCAGGCCCATCTTGTATTGAAATAGAGTACCCAAACAGGAGGGTCAAATGCTGCTGCCAGCACTGTGCGCTGTTCACCTGAAGTCATTCTGAGGGGAAGAGCTTTTTAAGAATTCATAAAGCTCTTAAAATGCAGTGAGCCAGCCAGTCCATTGGCAAAGTCTCCCTCTATTTTGCTATGCAATACTTGATGGTGTAGCAACTAACTTGATTATTTCTCCTTAGCTAAAAGAAAAGACTAAGACTCACCCTCTTTTCCTTCTCATAGGGTGGGAAGCGGTTCAAAGGAATCATTCCTGTCTTGAAGCATTGTTCTGTTTTGTTTTGTTTTGTTCTGTCCTGTGCATTATGGTGGTGTGTTTCTTGCCTTTGCTGTCAGTGAGGGGTGATGGACATGATTTATATGAAGGCATTCACATGAAAGTCCCCACAGATTTTGGATGTCCAGAATGGTAGATAGTAGGAAAGCACAAATAAAGATAGATAATCTTTACCCTGGCAATCATTTATTCTAGTGGGGCAAGAGTTAAGAAAATGTGAAATGCAGAACCCTGCAAGGATTCATAAGAACTTCTGGTGTGTGAAAACCTGTTTTACAGGAAGGTGTACAACTGTCATTTGAAGCAGTGAGAAAAATGAACAAAACCATAAATTTTCATTGAAAAATCAGAGTATCACATAATTCAATAAAGTATTTTCAGATCATTACTCCTGAGGGTGAGTCCATACTGTGAACAATGTATTCAAAGCAGAGTATGTTACAAGGCATACATTCCCAGCTACACTCCTGTCTCTTTCCCTGGATATCCTTTCTGGTGGAGTGACTTCCTTTTGGTTTTGTTTTTGATTGAGTAGGGTTCACTCTGTGTGTGTGTGTGTGTGTGTGTGTGTGTGTGTGTATGTGGTTTTTTTGACCTGGTTTCACTGCTGGTGATTCATCTTTGTGAGCACTGCCATTATCAACCACAGGACTAGCTGTGGTTAACAGTGTGGTACCTGTGCTACTTCCTTAAATGTGCTAAAACCAGCAATCACAATGGGAGCTATTTATTACAGCTCATTTTATATGACAGAGGAAAAAAAATATGCTGGGCTGGTGCAAGATAAAAAAAAAAGAGGGCCTGTGTAAAATCTGAAGACAGATCTTTTTGACCACAAACTCAATATTCTTATAAATTGGCTGTGTGAAGAAAGTACAGGGATTCCAAAGAAGGATGTTATGGGCACTTTTATTTTTCCGCTGAATGAAAACACTTTTGGAAGGTATAATAGAGGCAAAAGAAAAGTAAACAGAAATTAGGACCTTGTTCTGAGATTGCATTCTGTGGTCTGAAAGATGAGTCAGTTATTTGACTTCTAAGTGAAAATAAATGAAAACTAGGTGTTAGAAGGTAATGAATGGAGACAATTTCAGCACTGTGAAGGGGGCAAGAATAGATAGCCCTGTGAAAATGATGAAATAGACATTCGCAAAATGTGAGTAAGGGTAGCTTGAACTTCTGGAAGTTATATGATTGCTCATGAAAGATCATTGTATTTTTATATTTAAAAATCCTTTAAAATAAGCATGTTTTCAAGTGGACAATACCTTGCTTCTTGGTGTATTTTCTTATTCTGAGACCAAAATTTACAGTTCTTATGCTGAACAATAGGCCCTTTTAATTCAAGTTCTATTTAAAAGAAAGAAGACCATAAGAGAAAGAAAAATAGCCAAGATGAAGGTATGAAACAAAGAATGATCATTAGATGCATAGGGGAAGAGTGGGAATGTTACACCTAACATAAATTATACAAATAGGTTTTGTGGTAAAGAGAATAGATCATTCACAGGTGACACAGACTCTTGCTTTCCCATTTGTAGTTGAGTGTTGGTTGATGTAAAACTGGGTGATAAACACAGAAAAATGTAAAAGATCAACAGGAGAAAATGATGTATCTCCTTGCCATGCTTTGGCTTTTTAAAGTGATCAATGTGATGGAATTGAAATTACTTGAGAAATTACTTTTGCCTTTGTTGTTTTGCAATTACTCCTTCTGGTAGTAGAGTTTACCTTTTCTTGTGTTTGACTTTTCTTATATATGTAATATATCTATCTCAGACAATATGTCCATTTGTTTATCTCCCTTTTTTTTCCAACTTACATAATTCAAATACTTTCACATGTTGTGTTTTCCTGTTAACTATTTGGCCAAGGAATATATGCATATTCTCCAGGTTTTTCCACAGATAGAATACAGCAGTATTTAAAGAAGAACATGCCTGTTCTTTTTTGGATTTGCTATAAAATTTTTGTCAGGAATGAACTTAAAAGATACACAGGGCAAAATGATCCCTACTTAACTCTATACAAGAGCATGTGTACCAGATACATAGTGGCCATTGTTCTTAGCCTCTGTATTCTGATGAAAGAAAACAATGGCCTTCTAGACAAGGTGTGATGAATTCCTTTATACTGCCCAAATTAACATGAACCTAGCTCCAGGTGCTGTCTTTCCTTGGAGGTAATCTAATTTCTTGCCTAGTATAAATTTTTTCATGTCTTGATTTTTTTTTTATTCTGCATTTTTTCCTTAAGTCTCTGTTCACCCGTAGTTTTTTAATCAGCAGTATGAGCAGAGGGTTTCACCCCGAGACATGTGTTTTTCCTTTTCCTTCCCCTTGCCCAGACTGCCCATATCACAGGATTTGAACATGAAATGGGTGCTCCTCTACCACCACCTTCCCTTTCCACAGAAGGCATGGCTAGTTACCTTTGCTACACTGCCAGTACATTCTGGATTCTGCTCTCAGGCTGAGAAACATATTAGAGGATTTTGAGGAGAGGTTAGTATTGAGAAATGGAAAAGAGACCTTCCTCCATTCCAGCTCCATGTAATTTGGGAGGACAGTCTGTGACCACAATGTCCTTTGTCAGGGGGACAAACCCCCTAATGCAGGGGGGTTGAAGCTATGTAATTGATTTTGATTCTTCCTAAATCCTTGGGGTAAAAAACTTCCTTCTATTATGGTAGTTGAGGAGTCTCAGTGGAATCCTTTCACAGCTTCCTCAAAAGAAATTTCTTACACTGACAAACAACCTAGCCTGACATCTATTCTACTTCTTTCAATGCCCAGGCTGCTTTATCACCAGAGCAAGGGAGTTTGCTGCTTGCCATAATCCTCTCTCTCAAGTTCCTTCCTATGCTGCAGAGATGTGTTTAGGCAGGGCTGAAACACAGCCCTCCTCAGGCACTGCTCAGAGAAGTGATCCTTACAGAGCAGGTGCACCTCGTGTGGCTGAGCTCAGCCCTCAGATTTTGGGTTCAGCCCTCAGAATTTGAACTATTGCTACTCAGGGTTACAATATTCCCATTGCAGCCCTGTCCCAGAGAAAGAGGGATGGCTCAGGGCTGCCTTTTCCTGAGCATATAGTGCAGCTGAGGATGTTGTGCTGAATTGTGTTTAATGAGCATTCATCTCTGCGTGCTTCCAATACCAAATTTTAGCAGTGTCCCAAGTGTTTATATGATTGCATAGGCATTTTCTATTATTTTTGCAGACTTTTTTTTTTTTCCTGGTTTTAATTACAGTGGCTTTTATGTGTCCTTTTCCTTCTTCCCCACTTGCATTACAATGTTCCAGTTTTGTTCTGAATCTCTGTGGTTACAGTCTGTACAACCACACATTCATGTAGTATCATGTAGCATCATGTTTTCAGGTATTTTTCTCCTTATGACATTGAAATAATAAACTGCTACACATTTGTATTTTGCTACTCTGTGGGTAGAGGAATTACATGTAAATCTTAAAATAACATCTAATTGAATTTTTTTTTTCAGACAAGCACCTCAAAGGTAGTCCTGTGATTTCATATTTTGAGTTAGCTTTCTTTTTTTGAAAGTCTGATGTACCTTAGTTTTTTCATAAGATAATTACCTATCTATACACATTATTTTTCTGTTTCTTCTCAAGACTCCTGAGTGTATATTCACACATCATCATTCTCCCTGAATTTTGTACATTTGATAAAAAGAAAGATGACCATTCGTTGCCATCTATAAGAATAGGATAATATGTTTTCCAGTGAAAGCAAGCAGTGGCTTCTGTTTCTGGTATCACAGACTGACTTCTGTGCTGATGATTAGCTTGTTTCTCTGATATCTAAATAAGGTACACATAAAAATGTGAGCAGATTGCTGGACCTAAAATGTACTATCTGAGGCTCTGAAAATTTTGCTGTTCTGATGTTGAAGGGATTAGGCATCTGACAACACCATCAGTCATGTTAAAAACAAATTAAAAACTTGCAAAGTCAAAAAAAAAAAAAAAAAAAAAGGCTGGTTTTCAGAATGAGTCAAAGTGAAGACAGCTTTTAGCTGTCCCAAGAGGTAAGATTATCACACATGTCAAACAATTTCCCCTCATGGTCTTCACTTCTCTTTCCTTTAAGGCTCTGGACACCTCTATCATAGCATTCACAAGTGCCTGACAATAAGCAAAGTAGGTACTTTCAAGTAGGAATCCCACCAGAGTTATTAGACCTCACTTTTGTAAAATTGAAGTTGGACAGTTTTCCAGCACTACATTATCCATACACATGTGCACACACACTGTGGAAAGCCATGTGAAATCTGTCCAGCACGTAAGTCTCCCAAATGGCATGGGTTATACAGCAAGGAAAAGGAAAAGGTTGTCCACTCCATGGCTGTGAGTTGTAACACTGTTATATTCAGGAGAGTGTGGGTTAATCTTACCAGATGGCCAACTGCTCTAAGAATCAAGAAGTATTTTTGCCAAATATTGTAGTCTGTCAAAACAGCCACACAAAAAATATAAAAGGAATAAAAAAATTAAAAATTAAGCACTCAATTTGCCAGAAGCAATCTGTTCCCTTCTTGATGAGGAGCTGGCTAGATACAAAATCTACACTAGACATATATGTATTTAGGGAAACAACTCTCTGTTTTAACAGAAATTAGGCAAGATAGATTTGTAGATTGTCCTTATTTTATTTAGGTGAGTTTTTAAATTTTTGATTGTTTGTTTTTCTTCTGCTGTGCAGTCCAGCTTTAGAACAGTTGTGTGCTTCAGTCTCTAACCAACTGTTAGAGCACCTCATTAATCAAATTTTTTTGGCAAGAGAGTTGAAATGGGTTTGTATTCAGCACAACTTGAGATTAATTGTATTCCACAAATCTTCAGATATTCCTTCTCAGCTATAAGAGGCTGTTCTTGGAGAGACATGAACCTGAATCTGAAATTATATGCCTATTTAGTGGTAATTTATTTTTTATATGGCACTTAGAAGTTGCCATATAAGCCATATGAGCTGCTCAAGCTCTGCCCATTATTTGGTCATGTACAGATCCCTTTTATTTTCTTTAAATTATGCCCTGAAATTATGTACTAGGCCACAAATGGACCAGCTGAATTGCCCATATAGCTCCTGCCACTCATTCTGTGTCACACTATAACGTGGGAACAGGGAGGAATGCTGTTTCTGTTAAATTGTGGAGTTTTGCAATTTGATCTTTTACTCTCACCAAAGCTTTTACCAAAAAATTGTTTTGTTCTGTTAGACACCTACATAGTCCCACTGTTCACTCCTTCAGCCCAGTGAGTTGCTTGGCTTTGTAACTATTTGAATTCTAATCCCATGGACTGTCTGAATTGGCACACACAACATAAATTCCATTTATTTGAAAAATATTTTATAAATACTGAGACTCTGAAAAGTGCAGATCAGAGCAGTGATGTGATGAATTTGGTATTTAAACCAGGGCAGAAATTTTGGCAGGCTGGGAGTTATCACTGCTGACCTAATAGAGAGGTTCAGCCTCTGCTTTGGGAACAATAATATCCAATACAAATATTGCCTTACCTCCAACTTTCTGTCTCAAATGAAGCATAATGTGAAGTCCTTGCCAAATAAAGCAACACTGGTTTCCAAAATGCACTTAATTTGCTTTCAATTGCTGGCCTGCAGGAGGGCTCTGAGGCTGGAATGGGCGTTAAGTTGCACTCTGTTGGTGGCTGAGAGCATGAGAAGTCTTCCCCTGCTGATTTGATCCTGTTTACCTCAAAGGCAATACTCCTGCCGAGATATACTTAGCCACACGATGGTGCCAGTTCAACCATGGTAAGGTGCTCACATTCTCAACTCGTCTGGCATCTTCTCCAGTTATCAAATCAGCGGTGGTGGATGTATCTGAATAAAAAAATAAGAGGTTTTAGCCAGCAAAGACAACCGTCATTGCTAACTGTATTGCTGAGGTGCCTTCTAAAATTGATAAGGCAGCAAGTTTAGAGGTATAAAAAATAAATAATCACAGTGGTACTTTGTCTCAGCCAGTTAAAACACTGTCTTATGGGGTAAATCTTGCTTTTACTCCTCTAGTAGACTGATAAATAAGTTGCATACTTCCAGTTTACATTTCTACAATCCCACTGAAGACAGCAAATTTCTCCACACCATCCCATGGCCTCAGTAGATAAATGTTGATCTCTAATCTCAATCTGGCCCAAATGCCATCAACTCTGCTTCTGGAAATCCAGGGTAATTCTGTGCTGTGAGGGAGCCAGGCTGAGAACACCTGATGTGGGACAAGATTGGCTTAAATTTAGGCCCCTCTCTTATATGCAGCATAGACACAAGTGGCTGAAGCTCCACAGCACAGCAAATTTAATCCCAAATCCTACCACAGCTTCAAACACAAGTAAGGATATAGTGACAGCCGTGGGCAACTTTAGTGATGCATAAAACTGGCTTTGGGTGGTAAACAATTGGATTTTTAAATTGTTGTACATTAACATGTTCCAAATCATGGGGCAACTTAAAATTATGCCTTGTCAGTGTTCAATTACCAAGAGCAATAATTTAACACAGCTTCAGTCTGACAGGTGCAGTTTTCTGTCAGCATTCTTAAATACTACAAAAAAATTTAAGCCAATTGTGTTAATCAATGCCCACTTAAATATATACATAAATTCAACAAAATAAACATATTACATATACACCAATTATATTTTTTGTAATATTTTGTATTCTCAGCTACATGTGGACTTTTGTGTGTGTTTATACTTTGCACTTTTTCTTTTTCTCAAAAGTTTAAGGTTAAATAATGA